TGAGAACGCAGCCGACTTATGCGTCTCCCTGAGAGGTCCACCAGCACCCAATGGCTGTGCTGAGGTTAAGGTAACAAAGAAGGCCCACATGCCAAAGGATGCATGCAGAAGGGGCCGAGCTCGCGTAACAGGGCCGCCACATGTCACACTGAGGTCATTGGCATTATGCCCCGAAAAGCGGCTCACACGGGGACCAATAAAAAGAGATAGGGAACAAAGACTGCTGGCCCTTAAATACGAGGCTGCGAACAGAAGGCACATTCTGCTGCCAAGACGAGGTACTCTTGCCGACACGAGCGCGCGCTGCCGACGATAGAAGACAAGCTGCAGACGGGACGACTTGCCGACGGACACGGGACAAGTTGAGAGACACGCGCAGAGTTTGAGGTTCAAGCAAAAACTGTTACAGTAAACCCTTCTCCGATATTCTGTCTGTCTTCTCTTCCTAACATACAACTAGGGGATATAAAAAGTGTCGACGCAGGTGCTCACACAAGGTTATAACAACTGTAAGTTTTTTGACAGCCGAGCCGTTTGAAGTGTAACTAATAACTAATAACATGGTCCTTGAATGATTTCCCTCAGAAAGAGTGATATTTTAAAATAAAACGTCCCAAAATACTTCGGTATAATTACGTAATCATTGTTTAATCACCAGGACTAGGCTGTACGAGGCCCTGAGGTTTTCCAGGAACGCGGAAGAAACAACGACTGAAGCGACAGAAAGTCAACAAGAGGCAATTCTCCCTGAAGATGCTGAACAGGCTGCTGTGCAAGACATTGACCAAAAGAGTTGGACGGAACATTGGAGATCTGCGTTGGATTCCTAAGCGATACTATAGTTGTTTAAAATGTCTTGATATGCTTCTCGTGGTTGTTGTAAAATGCACGAATAACGTATGCACAATTAACGTTTTCCCTTGGCACCTGCCAGATCATATAATAATTCCAATTGTTATCATCCTAATAATAATTGTCCTGGCTCGATAATCTGAACAAAAGATAATAATGTGAAAAATTTCAGAATTTAAAATAGGCCACGTAAGATAGTATTGCCGGCAAAGACAAGGGAGAGTGAAAGTCATTTCTGGCTTATAAGTCGTCGTCAGGCGGTCATACCCTACTCCAAGTGATACACCACCCCAGGCTCAAACTCACGACCTTTTCGATCAAAGTCCAACGTTCTAACCACCGAGCCATGACCTCATTGTCTTGCCGGTTTAGATAGGAAGATATTGCAATCCGTTGATGAACGTCCACCGACCGATAGTTGAACTCTGTCGCCAACCTGGCATGTTTTAGCCGATGCAGACTGTGTTGCAAATTCACTGACTAGGTAGAGTTTGCACTATTAGGAAAGAGCATAACATTGAAGAGGAAAAAAGACTCTTTATTGAATAAAAAAATATTTGGAAAGGGCCGTGCGACAGACAGCTATGATACATAAATGCAAGGTAAAGTGAATCCCCTGCAGCAGGTATCTAATCTGAATCGCTGATTTCAATAACATAATTGTCGCCCTGTTGGCGCAGAGAACCAGCGGGCGGTGGTCTAGTGGTTTGCTCCAATTCCGGCGGTATGCTTGGCCGAGACAATTCAGCCCCCGTTGCGTTGTCTGACGGTGTCCTGCCAGCATCAGGGCTGTGGTAACTTATTACAGTTATTGGACGGGCCTCAGTGCCACGCATATTCGCCTGCTGAGTAGGAATGTGGTCACGGGTGGTCTGGGAGCTCTGCGGAAAGGGATAGACTACCAATACGGCCGACGGTCCTGTCTGTGCCCAAAACCCTGAGGAGCCGATGGCGATCCGATCATCACCCTCCTATAGAGAGGTGCCGAGTTGGTCGCGCCACGTCCCTCCGAGGACCTGGAGGAGGCAGCAAATCGTTCCACTGGTGCTTTGTCGGAAGGAGCATTCGAGTGAAGAGCAAGCAACAACAACGAGGACTGCGAATGGGGAGAGTTGTCCCGACTGGTGGGAGGTAGTGTGGGGACAGTCCTGGCCGAGCTGGAAGTCGACTTATTAACGAATAGAAAGCGGGGGTGTGCATAATCGAGGCCATCGCAGGTGAGAACGGCCGGAAGACCTGGTAGATGTGCATATAGATCTTCTAGCAAAAGGTGGAGATCCTTGACAGCTTAAATGGGTGGGAAAAAGAAAACGGTGGGGCCAATTAAGGTTGAAGAAGAGAACGCACATGGACGTACAGGCCTATCTGCAGTAATAAATCGTAGGGCTGCCCGAATAGCAAGTCCCTCAGCCCAAATGTTCGACAGAATTCGTGGGTAAGGGATAAATGCTTGATAAGTGCGCAGTAGGAAATCAAGTAAAGTTAGTGAACATTGCCGGTAAAAAAGGAGAGACTGGAATGGCCAATCCTACCCAGTCCCAAGTGGTGCGCTACCCGAGGCTTGAACTTGCGACCTTTTTGATCAGAGTCAAACACCGTAATCCTCGAGTCACGAGCTCGTTGTCTTGCGAGTTTAGGTCGGGGGAGGTTTGACACTCATTGATGAATGTTCACTGACCGCTAACAAAACGCACACGCCCTGTCGTAGGTCTTTTTCCTTGGGCCCTGACAGCAGCCACACAACGACTATCCGTTTGGGTTAATACGACTACTATAAGTGCCCGAGAATGAGGCTAAATACAGAGCAGGGCGAATGAGTTCCAAGAGTGACCCGTGAATTTACGTTAACAAAATTACGGTTGGCAGACACACAGTGATGCAAAATACGAAAAAAAGTTTCGCTGTTGTATAAAAAGCTGGTACATTTAAAAAAACGAACCTTTGAAGAATCGAAAACATATCCGGTGAACCGTGCATCTGAATTTCACGCAATCCATTGTTATAAAGCATTAGCGGCTAGTGTCGACCGCGCAAATAAGACACGTACAAACTCCAACACACACTATCTACATGCACTGAAGCATCATTACCTATTTTATGAACACTATGGATCCCCATGCCTTTCTTCTACTAATTTGTAATGAAAACAAACGTAAATCTTCAGTTTCTGCTCAAACTACCTTCTTGATTTGCTTCGTATGTTTGCTTTTTCTGTTCCTCATTCTTACTTTGAAAACCCGTGCACGGCTGGTAGACTGCCATAGGCTGTTTACAGACTGCATGCTTCAAAGATTTCGACATGGACCGTGCCTTTTCCTTCGGCAATGAAATCCCTAAGGAGGTCACGGAGGTATGAGCTAGACGCTTTGTTGCTGCCACGAAACTGGTAAAGCAGCCACTCACACATATGATGGAGGAACTTTATGCTAATTTTGGTACTTCTTTGTATAGGTGATGACATAATATTTTGTCGATGAAAAAACAGCATCTAGTTGCGTGCTTTTGGCAGAATTAGTACTCGCTTTGGAAGCGAATTAATCACCATAGGGAACCTACTATTTTGACCGAAATACCAAAGAAAAAATATTTTTTAGGTTATCCAT